TTGAAAAATGCCTGTTAATTCCCTTGTTTTTACTTTACACTCCAAAGTAGAATTAAATTGGACACGCGCTATTCGACACGTAATAGCTCAATCCGTACATTTTAGTAAAATTGCCAAAAAACTGAACATAGATTTATGCCAATTTTTTTCGTACCGAAAGGAAGCACTGTCCTTATTAAAATCATGAAATGAAAAATGGGGGTCACCGTACTCGTTTTTGCGGTAGAACTGCAGAAAGTGCGCACTAAATGCATTTTCCTTGATTTTTGAGAGAGGACTGGGGCGAGTTTCAAAATAGAATGTATGCGAAAGGGGGAAGAAAGTATTAAAACATCCCTTTTTACAGAATTTACATCGAGATATCACATTTAGGACACAATGTGATAAAAAAAGCGTTTAAATGAAAATCAAAGTGAATAAGCACAAATTATACATCCACTATCGAAGTTCTCCGTGAGGAAGTCGAACTCGGCAACACGCGTACTGCTCACGTTATGCACATTCCCACCACATTGAGTCTCGCCTCGGCAAGAAACAAGCGCAAGCAAAAATTGCAACAGCGTTTCTCTTCGGTCAACTTCATTTTAATAATGTTACTTCATATGCTCTTTTTTACGGAGGCCATCTTGTTATGCGCAGTAAGAGATGCGCAGTGCAAAACCAGGGAATCACCTTAAGGTCATTTCCCCGTTTAACACAAAATTCTTCCAAATTTGGTCATCAGTAACTGGTTATGGTGAATTATGCGTGTGCTTTTAGCCAATCAGAATCAGGAAAATATTTTGAATTAATAATAACAGCGATTAATGATGAGGCTGAGTAGGATATGAAGAATTAAGCAGATGTTATTGTTATCGTTGTCATTATAATGATAAGTCCTATTATTATCATAAATATATCCTACGAAAGCCGAATTCATTAATTGTTTTATTATTCACTCAAAATAATTCCTAGTTTAAAAACACAGCTAAAAAATGCTTACCTGTATCGATGTTAAAATTCATCTTCGATAGTGTATGTTTAGGTTTGTCCAGCTCCGCAAATATTCCCCAAATAGCAGATGTTGTCCTCCGAGTTGTCTCCTTGCTGTTTTTGCTATGTTTTTAGCCATTATTTCGCCTAGTTCCAGCTGTAGTTCTT